TGAAAATAAATATCATAAAAAAAATAATGTGATAGAATGGTATACAAGCTAAATTTTTAATGTTGCGGTGTACAATTAAATATAGTAGAGTTGGCGGTATGTAGGACATGATGCCAGGCTACATTAATGCCAACTGCATTGCATGCATAACACCTCCCATATACTTACTTTCTTGAGTTTCTATCTGATCCTCGAATCATCCTGCCCTTCGGTTCACGTTGTCCTATAAATACTAATCTTTTTTTCCTCTTTTTCTCAACACAAACAAATACAGAGAATTTAATTTCCTTCATTTCTCTTTCACCATTTCCTTAATTAAAAGCTCTCAAAACTTGTAAATGGCTACTTCCAAAGTCCTCCTTGCATCAGTTTTTCTTTCTCTGCTTGTTCTCCATCAAGTCCATGCAGTTCAAACCAATCAAGCTGTAAGTGATTTTCATCTCAAAATTTAACATTTTTCTTCAAATTCTTCTTTTATTTGGGTGAAACTTAATTTACGGTACACTTTCTCCTCGTACTTTGAAATTTTTGCATATGTATTAGGTTGTCCTATTATTTTCCTTCTACATAAACAATATTAAGGCAAATTATCCTCCATTCTCATACTAGAGAGAAAACATAGGAGTTGCGTCAGTTCAAAATAGATTGAAAGCGCAATTCTTTAGGTCGATGTAACTCTCGTATTGAAAGTGAAACATTGTGTGTTTTTTTGCTGTATCCATAATAATATATACTTTTGTGCTTTTGCAGACTAGCAATGCCATTCCCCAAAATGATTCCAGCATGAAAATCGGTATAATTCAATAAACTATATCTAAATCCCATATTCACTATTTTTCTTCCATCATTAATATATTCTTAGAACAGGGTTAATCTTTAATAATATATAAATATTTTTTTATGTATGTCTAGATTGTGAGGGGGCTTGTGCTGTAAGGTGCCAATTATCCTCGAGGCCAAATCTCTGCAAGAGGGCTTGCGGGACTTGCTGCGCCAGGTGCAACTGCGTGCCGCCGGGCACTTCCGGCAACTACGATGCCTGCCCTTGCTATGCCAGTTTGACTACCAAAGACAACAAGCGCAAATGCCCTTAAGTTATTACAACCTAGTTTTCATTCGCAGAATCCATCCCCATATTTTCATATGTTTATTATCAGAATAATGTATAGATGGAATCTTGTGTTTAGCTTTGTTCTTTTGTGTTCATATGTATGTGTCATATGAAAGCGTTTAATTTGTCTTGTTATATATAATATTCCTGTAAGAGTCACTGAGCCTAACGGTTGCAGATATATTTGTGGTATCTTGTCTTAATCTTTTCATTTGATCGTTTTCTCGGGATTGTTTGATGAAGTTACTTTTTGCTAAAAATCAAACTGGACAAACTTCATTTTTAATCCACGATATCTCCAGTTGCAAGAGAAAAGAGATTAGACAAGAGCCAGATCACGCAAAATAGATAACAAGGAAGTTGGGCCAATTTTCTTTTTTTTTTTTT